GGCGCTTGGCTGCGAGGGCCGCTTGAGGCTCCGCGGAGCTTTAATTTTAATTGGATTGTATTTACAACCCTCCAGAGTTGGGTCCAGTTCAGAAACTCTGATTTTTCTCCCTAGACAGAAATATAATTCCCACAATGAGGCTGTTTAAGGCATCCACTGCATCCCAGCACCATATTAATACAAAGTCAGCCAAATATTTTCCATGCATCATGAAACGGCCTCCTCCTCCTCCTCTGTGTGCTTATTGCACAGCTGGTTTTCACCTGACTGGTACATATTTTTTCTGCGGATGAAAAGTGCCGGCTTTAATAAATCTGATGGATGACTGGTTGCAAACTGTTGACCAATCATTTTTTCTGACAGGAAATATTACTTGATTTTACTCTTTACATTAAGATGTATTACCAAGCAGCTTGATTCCTCTATAAGGAGATAAAACATGTTTAATAATGCCGCAGCTTTCGCCAGAGAGCCATTATCAGCTCAGAACCAGGCGCTCTGATCTTTACTCTCAAATTAAAACAAATAAATAGGAACTCAAACTGATTTTTAGTTTGTTTAACTGAAAACTGAATAACTGGATTTTTAAATAGCTATAAATGTAGGTCAAAAATCTAACTCGTCAAAAAAATAGAGCAAATTCAAGGTTTAAAATTTAAAAACAATTTCAAACTTTCTTCTGCAAACAACTGCAATAAAGTTTTTGAGAGCATGTAACACACAAGTTACCAGCATACATCAACGAAAACAAAAAAAAAAACCGACATGTCAACAAAAGTCATAAAAAAACACAATACATTTACAAATAATAACATTTCACAACAGGTTAGCACTTAGAAGTACTCCCTGCAACATTAACCATGTTTTCCATTGAAAATAGTGATAAACGTAGCAATCTTAGCATTGGTTTTAAATGCTTATTTAGTCATCGCTTAAATTTTTACAAATTTAATCACATTTTTAAGCAAATAAAACTTTAAATTGTAAACTACTTCTTTAATAAATCCTATAAACATTCTATTCAACAGTGAACTGATAAAGGTGCAAATAAATAACGAATAGGTGAAATAATTTGCTCACCGGTCTCACCAGAGGACAGCACAGCAGCACAAAATGGCGCCGCCTCCAACCTCCTGGTTGTTCACTCTACAAGCAGAAGCACAGAGAGAACCGAACAAGTTAACAATGGTGAACTTAACTCATCGTTTCGACAGTAAACAGACATAAAACCATTCTTAGCATCAGCAATGTTTGCTAACGATTCGTTTTATATAGTTTTTTTGTACCTCTTCTTCCGTGAATCTTTTGCGTTCAGTTAGCACCTCAGCGATCAAGTCGCAACGGAAATGAAGGAGGAAACCACGGAGGTGGTGGGCGGGACAATGCGCCACTTGGAAAGAGCTCATTGGTTAAAACCGATGCTAGCGATTTTCTTCCTGAAAAGTTAACCCTTTAATTGCTGGTCATGACAATAATTCACCCAAAATAATTAACAACTGTTAAAATAATAAATCTTCCCATTTTCATGAGAGTTTAAAGGATTTTTTTATTATTATTATCATTAAAGCCATATTTAAATGTGTGTTCCACATTATCTGTGGGTGCCACACCTAGAGGGGGGGCCAAAACGATGGCAGAAAAATAATTTGTAGTAAGCATTTTCCATATTAACAGCTGTTGTGCTTTTTGATTTTTTTTTCCCCTTTAAAACCCAAAGAGCCATTTTCTAATTTTTTTGACCCACCAGAGCTTTTGACTTGACAATTTTGGCTCATGTTGTAAAAAGTTTGGACATTGCTGCCGTTCAGAAGAACATGTGCTAACATTAGATGGGCCAGTTAAGAGCGTCTACTGAAGCTAATTTAAAGGTACATGTACCTATTATTCCTGTTTAGGATGGAACAGTGTGTGTGTGTGTGTGTGTGTGTGTGTGTGGTGTGTGTGTGTGTGTGTGTGTGTGTGTGTGTGTGTGTGTGTGTGTGGGTGTGTGTGTGTGTGTGTGTGTGTGTGTGTGTGTGTGTGTGTGAAGCCAGCAGAAAGCAAACATGCAGTCCAGCAGCAGACAGTCCGTGTGATGAGCCGGCGGAAAGGCAAACGTCTCTGCTCATAAATACGTCCATGTTCAAGATTTACGGCTAGCAATTCCATCTCCAGAGGAAGCCTGGTCGATTGCTTTTTGCGCCTGTCCTGCAGTTCATGCAGGAAACTCGCTGTGTGCAACTCCGCATGCAGAAAATCCACATAACGCAGGTGAAAAAACAAAGGTTGCTCAGTCTGTTGTGTTAATTCTTTGCATAGATGTCCTGCTAAGAGTCAACTCAAATGCACACTTTATCTAGGAGGAGTAAAAAGGGAAGAACACCTGCTGGGACTGATGAAAGGTTAAACTGGTCCCAGTAACAGACATGATGAAGGACAGGCCCACTCAGTGAATCACAGACAGAAAAATCACTAAACTGGAAGTGTTTTCATTCAAAAACAATGTTCATTTTCATTTTGAATTCATTATTATGTAAAGGTTATAAATCTTTTGTTAAAGCTGAATTATGTAATTATGTATGTTCTTTATAAGAAAAAATTCAAAATATGTAAAACATCTTTTACATATTTGTTGAAACTCTCACCATGTTGTAAAAGTTTATGACACAGATAATCTGTGAAAAAAAATTATCTTGCTGTCTGAAGAAACAACCAGTCAGAACCAGAAGGAGGGGCTTAGTGCTGCCAATCACCTTCATGAAGTTGCTGCTAAATGCGCTAATGGCAGAGAAACAACTCGTCGTTACAGGAAAACTGTTTATCTGCTGTCATCTGTGGCTATGTCAATTAGCCTCCACATTGACGACAGGCTATGCTAACTGCAGTGTGGCACGAGATTGTGATTGACAGTGCTAAGACCCGCCTCCTGTCTCCGATTGGTTGTTTCTAGTTTGAACTGGGAGAAGGTGGAGGAGCTGAGTTTTTTCAAGGACTAACGGTCTCATAAATTGTCACAACAAAGTGACAGTTTCAACAGATACATACAAACATATATTTTATAAAAGCTACATATTGGACCTTCAGTTATCATTTTTTTGTTTTTTACAGACGTTTGTAGGTGGATGTCTGTTGCTGCTCTCGCTCTGTTTGTGTATCAGGTGGTCAGATGCTGCAGGATTGTTTTATTGTTGTACAGAATCAGATAAAAGTTAAAAATTTTATTGAGGAAAGCAACAGTAAATTTGAGTAAAATTGAAAGTATCCAGTTGGAGATTAAAGAGAACAAACTGAAGCTGCAGAAGAAAATGCTTACAACTGTAGACCATCCATCCTTCCTCACTTATTTTCTTCCCTTCATTCCTTAATTTATCGTTTTACTTTCTTTCCTTCTTCACTTCCTTTCTTCTCTCCCTCACATCTATAATTCATGTCATTTGTGTATTGTTATTGATCTGAACTTGCTGTATTTGACTTATGACTTTGTGATGACTGTAAATGACTTTATTGATACACATTTGTTTTGTTGTTGTTTTTTGGGGTTTGTTTTGGTGTTGTTGTTTCCTCATTTGGCCAGGAGTTGTTTGTTGCCTTTTGACCGATGTTTTGATTTGAGGGGTTTTTGGGGGGGACAAGGTTGCTAGGCGATCTCCACAAACTGACGGTTGGCTGTTTTGGACATAGTGCAGAGAGTGAGCGAGCATACGAGTCACGGTTGAGGGGAGATAACTAAGGAATAGTCCAATTAAGGTCCAGACAATCAATTAGCTGGCGCTCGGTTGATGAGGGAACAAGGTGGGTGGTTTGATGAGTGAATTGTATTTATTGAGCGTGATGTTTATGTTTCGACATGAAATGGTGTTAATATTTGATTAACTGTCAAACAGTTGGAATACGTTTTAGTTCATTTGTAACATAGAAATGTTATAGTTAATTAAATACATTGTAAATTTAATGATATTACATAAAGTAAGGTTTAAGGTAAAAGGTTAGAACCATGAAGAGTTACTAATGATATTTTATTTGTATGTTTGTAGCTCTTTCGGTGTGTTCATGTACAAAGGCTGTTGAATAAAGAAACGTGAGCCATCAGTTAGAGAGACCATCTTTTCAACCGGGACGCTACAATGACGATAAATAAACTGAATCAGTTGCTGCAGTTTTTCTTATATTTTTCCATCAAGCTACAGCAGCTGCTTTTCAACAATCTTTACACCAGAAGTCTGTGAACTTCAGCAACCTGAAACTGCCCATCAAGGGGAAACTCCGGCTTTGTGTGCTCTGTAGGGATTGTCTAACACATCAGTTGTGGTGTTAGCATGATGCTCATTCAGTGTCAGCATTCAACAACAACAGCAACAAAAAACCTTCTGATGCAGAAATCCTTGAACTGCTTCAGTTAAGATGCACACTCCCCAATAAACTAATCCCCCTAACAAACGACGAGGCCCAGTCATCTTCCTCACAAAGACTTCAAAGTGAAGCCAGGAGTCGGACTGTGAATGATGGAGCTCCTGTGTGTTTGGCTGACAGAGTTAACCAAACAAGCAGTTTCAGAAATGCTCACCGGGGCCAGCTAAGCTCCTGACGGTGACCACTTAAGTGCTGCGCGGTCTCTCTGGAGTGAGTTTGTGGGAATAAGCATTTCCTCGGACGTTTCGCTGGCCTGCAATGCGTGAGCTTGTGTGTCCTCGTGGATATATTGGTGTTGTGCGTGCATGCTTGGTGGCGCGTTAAAGGTTTCCTCTGCCAGGGGGAAACATCTGTTTTTTTTAATGTCACCGTATATTCTGGAGCCGAACGCCTCAGGTTAGAGAAAGAATGAAATAAAGAAAGCACTGCAACACATTATTTTTACTTACTGTAATGTTTTCATTCAGCTGCCAGCATATTTTCTGACACTTACGGAGACCTTTTATGTAAAATTCACAGTTAGCACCATTTCCATTTAGGTTTCTACTGCTTCTAAAAACCACCCAGGTGTTTTAAAGAAACACCGAGACAGTTTTTAGCAATAAGTTAATATTATCTGTTGTCAGAACATGAGTCATTTCAAAAACCTTTTGAATGTTGAGTCAGAAATCAGCAAAAACTGCTCTTCACCTACTGACCCCCGCAAAGTCTAGATGTTACCTAGCAACACGAGCAGCGTTCCACCCCGTTACCTAGCAACATGAGCAGAGTTCCGCCCCGTTACTTAGCAACCCCAGCACAGTTCCAGGACATTTGGGCTATGGCTGCTGGAAAAGACAATTGTTTTATGGTTGACTTACCGTCCAGAAACCACTTGCTGCATTCTTGTTAGTTGTGCAGGAGGCTTCACTTCTACTTTTCAAAGATGTATGGTTGCATAATTGTTTTCACACACTTTCATCTGTGAAAGTGTGTGAGATGGGAGGCCAGGGCCAGCAGCTGCAGCTAATTTGACTATAAATATGCTGTAAATGTCAATTAAACATGATTTGACTAATCAATTCCAAATGTAATGACAGCAAAATTAAACAATAAAACATGTACAAGTATAAAAACAATACTAATTCCTCATTAAAGAAAACCAGAAGCCTATTTCTTCAGATGACTAACTAGCTTGTTAGCCTTAAATACCACAATAGCAAACTGATTATCTCGAGAAAATCATGCCAAAATAATTTCAGGTTTGAAACTTACTAAGTTGTGAACTTTTGTCAAGATCTAGGTGAGGTTTATGCTTCTTCCTCCTCAAAGAAATGAAACCTAGCAGCTGTAAACTGATCAGATGCTTTAAAAGAACCATGAGTTTGAACATGTAACATCAGTTTTATGTAGTTTTGGTGAGTTAGCCTAACCGTATATTCTGTTTCTGTTCCTTCTTTAGCTTTCAGTTTGACTGAAAGAGTAGAGAGTTATTCAGAGATTAAAATGTATTACAAAAGCGATGACCGGTCCATGAACTCACTTTTTAATTTTTCTAATTCGGTCCTATTCTGCCGTTCCTCGCTAACATTTCCGGTTTCTGAAAAGAGGAGGAAAAGAGACGGAGCAGATGAATTTATAATCGGTGAAGGGTGAGTCCTTCGGCAGCCGGGGTCAGCGCTCTAATCGCAGGAAGTGAAGACACTGCGAGGATGTTTAATGAGAGCAACAGGGAGGGCTGGGGGAATTAGCCCTTTTAGATATCATTAAACATTAATACTGTCAGGGGACCGGCGCTCGCTGGGGTCCTTTCATTGACTTTCATGCTGGGTGCTAATAGAGTTTCACCTCCGGGGACCTGAGGGCCCCGCACCCTTCCCCCCAAAGCCGAAGCAGAAAGAGATCAGATCACCTCCTCGCTTCTGAGGATGAGATTATTCAGCCTGGGTGGTAATTTAGATTATTTAAGGTTAAACACTCAAATTAATCCTTTTTCTTTCCTTTCCGTACAATACAGTCATTTAAAAGTATAAAAACTCCTCGGAAGAGTGAATAAATTTGCCCAGGGGTGATCTCACATGAGTCAAACGAGTCGTTTGGCAAAAATAACAGCAAT